GAGCAATAAAGTATATAAAGGTATAATCGGATAATTTTATTTATGATCACAAGATCAAGACACGAGATCACGCACACTCGATAAAAAACTACCTCCTCGACAATCAACCTAAGGTACAATTACTACGTCATTAAATATAAAATGTGTTAATTAAATTTTAATTAAAATTAATGGGGAACATGTTAAACATTTCCGCATTGAAATCGATTCAAGCTGCTACGCGGTATGAATCAGTAAATGCACGACAATCTTTCGCTCGCTGTTAATAAATATTACAACCGCATTATTTGTCATCATGTTCATCACAACTGCTAATGCTGTTAACTAAGTAAACAAGTATGAATGTATGTATAAACTAGTAGGTAAACTCTAAAGAAACCTAGGATCCATACATAAATACATTGCATCTTTGCAATGAAGTACGTACAAGCACCACGCGAATATCATATCACCATGCCTTAAATATATCTTTTTTTAGGTAAACTCAAAAATTAATTATATTTATGACATCACCATGCCACAAAATTTTAGGTAAACTAAAAAATTATCATATTTGTGATATCACCATTGGCTTACATAAACTTTTAGTTTTACTAAATAAATTTCGTGTTCTCATAAAACACTATTTAGATCAACAGCATTGATCAAATAACAAATACAGACGTGATCATGTGGTAATGATAGATGCATTAGTTGACAGAGAAGAGCAGACAGTATTCACAGCTGATCACGAGTCTACGACTCTACGTTCACAATTGTCGCGACAGCAGCCGAAAGGCACGCGGAAGATTTCACGCCGTGACGTCACGGTTGAAGACAAATGGAAAGCGACGCTCTATCCATCTCTGAGGGAATGAACGGGAAGAGGAGGAAACGTAGGAAGATAGGGAATTACGGGAAGAACAATCACACTTTAACGACGTCGAAATCGCATCGAAATTCCTTTATATCACGATGCAACGACGCTGCAGTACACGCTGGACGCTGGACGCGCGTATACATGGTACCAAGAGTACAAAATAGATTATTACATACTCTATTATGTACTCTTGATGGTACGTCGTACCTCGGAACATTACTCACAGAACATACACACGCTCACGGAAGATTAAAGCACCACTCTCGCATCCTTCACGTTACATGAAAATCTCGTTCTGTCTTACACGTAACAATAGATGCATGTGATCGCTCATGCACACATTTGTGCACGCATCGTCTCAGAGACAAACTACTACTACTAGTACCAATATACAATATATCATTACCTAACACGTCAGGCCCTCATCGCTAGTGCACGCTCTCAGAATCCATCTAGATTCTTAAACCTGCATATATAACAGGAGTAGATAATAGGGACTACTACCTGTAACCTACCTATTATCTACTCCTGATATATATAATATATATATATAAGTATCACTCAAGGGAAACCCCAAAAGTGTCCCTTTGTAGCCAAGTGTCTGTTATAGA